CAATTCCCAGTAGTGGGGCAAGCAGGAGGCAGCCTATTGATGTATCTCTCTCACACCAAGGCTTCTATCTCTCTCTCTCTCTCTCTCCCTCTCTCTTAAAAAAAAGAAAATCATAAAAACATTTTTTAAAAATGTGTCAGAAAACTGACTTGGGTTCAAATTCTAGTTCCACAACCTTTGCATTTTTAATTAAATGAAATAGCTTACAAAGAAAATGCCATGAAAAGGAAAAAAATAGGGCTAAATAATTGGTGAGTTTGAGTGTTTATCCTCATAATATTAGGTAAATTACCAAACATTTCTTTTCCCATAAAAAAAATAAAAATAAACTCTCATCATTTGGAATATGTCTTCATATGGATTATCTAATGTACTGAAGATAAAATACAAATGAAGTGCTAGTGTTGTTTTTTTTTAATTTGAATACTATTGGCAATTAATTATTGTATTATAGCATATGCAACACATTCTGGTATATATTTATGTTGTGTGTTGGATTATGTCTTCAAGGCAAGCCTGTCTATGCAATTATTCTGAAGATGCTTGATGTGTGTGTACTGGGCAAGCTAATTTTGTCCACTGCCACCCTTCCTAGCATTCATGCCTTGTGCACACTCACAGCCTCACAATCCACTTCCTACTCCCTAGATTTATTCTTGCTGGTTCTTCCTAAAAGAACTATCACCGTTCACCTGATCCTTCCTACTTGGTCAGGATGCTTTTCCATTTGGCATCTTCCTTCCTCAAAAACATTGCCCATACTCTTTTCTAGTTCTCAGCAACAACTGCACTCAATAAATGATGCCCTATTGCTCAACATTTAGTTTTACTGTTCAGTATGGTTTTCTCTCTGCTTCATATGTATAGACCCTTTCTAAGGGAATGGAAAGTCCTTGAAGACAGAGGCTGTCTCACGCATTTTTGACCTTGCTCCAAAGCAGCCACCACTCTGCAGAGATAAGTACATGCTTGCTATAACTCTAAATAGGTGTTATTTTTTTCTTACTACAGTGATTATCGATCTGCACAGCTTCTATATGCCCCTCTCGGTATAGGAATGGAACTATTTTCATTAGATAGCTAACTGAAGAATAAACAAAGGGCCTTTTCCCAATCCTAAATCGGCATTCGAAGAGTTACTCAGGCTGTGGAAAGCAGACTTTCAAGGCTTCAAGCTGAGTAATAAGCTGCCATTAGATTGCCAGCATTGAGGGTTTTGTCAGGGTCTGTCATCCGGATGAAACAGTTTGTGGTCTGCGACTAATGTGAAACTTTGCTAATCTAGCTCCCAGATCCCTGGAACGTATTCCATTCATAGCACCCTTTTACTCGCACAGTTGGTCAGGATTTTGCAAAACCAAAAACAGAAATGCTACTCTTCCACTGCCCAGGGTGACGGCAGAGGTCATGATACGTAGGGTCAAAGAAGCTCAGGGACCTAGTGTTGTCTGGGATTTTAAAAGGCTTTGGAACAGTCTGGATGGACTGCATACACTGTGTAGCTGATAAGAAAACAGTGTTTATCAGTAGTATTGAACCTCATTTCTTTACTCTTATGTTTCCTCACATTCTTCCCCCCAACTTATGGCTATTACTGGCTTGTCCAGGTTCTGGAGAGCTGCACTCCACATCCAAAGAGTTGTCATTCTGATCTTTCCTGCCTCAACTTATCAATAAAATGCAATTGCTTATGTCCGTTCTTTGAGGAACATGCTAAGATCCTAAAGCTGATAAAAAGAGAAAAACTAATTCATGAAAAACAACAATGGTTTGCAAGCCAACAGTATAACATCATAAGATTTTTCAAATCAGAAGACCCTGGGTATTGCCTCTCAACTCTAACTAGCTGTGTGACCTTAAGCAAGTAACTGGTTATGTCAGAGCCTGTTAACTCAGGTATCACAGAAGCCTATTCATGGGCTTGTAGAAAGGAATAAATACAATTATGTGTGGTAAGTGCCTAGCACAGAGTCTTCCAAATACTAAATGCATCATCAACATCAGTATCAACATGAATATTTTTTCCCAGATAAAATACTAGGCTTTAAACAGAGCCCTTCAATACTTTAGCTCAAATTGGCAAATGATGATAAAAACATCAGGCACCAAACTCACTTATTTTTCTGGGTGGAAAGGGACTGAGTGTTCACCTAAATGCATTAAAAATGGAGCCATTATCTATCCTACCAAGCAAACATGGTAAGAATCAGCTCTTTCAACCTCCTTCAATGTAGACCAAGGAGGAAGAAGAGCCGCTGAGTGGGGATCCCACTTCTCCCGCTCCCAGCCCTAAACCAAACACCAGCATGATTTCCTCCAGGCTCTGTGGAGTTCAACTTTGTTACTCTAGGAGTCTTCACAGAAGTCCTTTGAGCTACAGATGATCCAAGTGTTAGCATTGTTGTTTTTGTTTTTAGATCCGCGTTGTAGTCTTAATTTTGTTACAAACAGCAATAGTTTCTTAAAGTCAATTACTATCTAGATAGTCACTTTTCAAATATCATCATCATCCCTCATATGCTTGATCTTAAAACTACACAGAGCAGTTCTAGGATTAAAGTAAAGTGCGAACTGAAAGCTTTTGGAAAAGGAAAACCATTCTGCAATTATCGGAATCATTATTTCCATCACAAACACCACAGCCAGAAGCCAGATTTGCATATCGACACTTCATTATTGGAAACCTGGGTACATGAACGTATTTAAAAAGATCATAATTTGAGTTTTCATGGTTATTGCACTTCCGGTGACTATCTTGTTGACTTGCTTTTATCTCAAAGTCAAAGTCTGTCAAATCTGTGAAATTACTCAGCTTAGTGCCTTTTTTTGGGTATTTGTTTCAGTGATTCACATCGTGCTAAAATGCAATGAACCAGGCTGAGATGAGGTTCTGTTGAATATCCCTTTGGGACATGCAGAGGACCACTACTGAGCCTAGGAAAGCAGGAGCCGGGCCGGGAAGTGAGGGGAGAGCCAATGCCAGCTGGTGTTGGCATCATGGAGAACTACCACTCTAGAAAGAACCTGGTTAACTTTTCCTAAAGAAGTTTTCTTTATGTCCCCAAATTCACTTGCTGTCTCATAGTCACTTCCAGTTTTCTTGACTGGAATCCAACTAAAGATTAGTATTCTCCAGGAGTTCTGGGAAATGCAATAGTTGTGGCCATGTGATCACTGGTCTACACGTACCTCTCAGGGTGCTCCCTCAGGCCCCTCCCAGAAGTGCTAAAGAAAGAGTAAAGCACCCCCACTCTTAGAGGATTATCTGAGGTTTTCAGCACTAGCCCTTACTTCTCTGTCTTCTTTCTTTCACGTGGTGTCTGAGAATAGATTCATATTTAGCTAGTGAGAAAAACTCAAATTTCTATCCCATAGGAATGTTACCTTATTATACTAAATAATGCTTTGGAGAAAGAGAAACAATAAAGCAAAGCAGAAGAACAGGTGCAGAGGAGACAAACAAATATTACAGCTCCTAAAAAAACAGTTAGCACCACTTTAAGATGCTTAGACTTTCAAGGAAAATATACCAAAAATGCATTGTCATCACAAAAATGCATTGCACGAAATCATAGGAATATGTCTCTGTGTTAAGCATAAACTCATAAATATTAGCTCCATATGAGAACTTTTCACTTCCACAAAACTTACAATGCATTCGAAACAAAAATCCAAATGTAAAAACACTTTAATGTAATAGGAGAAACTTAATTGCTTTCTTGAAGGTTCTTACCTTAGCAAAGGTTTTATCAGCAGGCTACCTCAAGAAATCTAAAAATAAGTAATTAAACTAGAATAACATAAGCTATTGAAACCCAGTTCAAATTCAAGGTCGATGGAAATAAAGAGGAGGCATCTCAAATTATAACTGAGCCACTCCATTTAGAGAAATTTGATTCACAAAAAATTGATTTGCATACAACTTCTCAGGAATGTAACTTTGCACAAAGTGAGTTGTGATGATGAAATTGTGAGATGCTCCGTCTGGTTCCTGAACCAGGTTTTTGTTTTTTAATCTCTTCAGCAGTCCTAGGACCGCTGAAGTATTCCTCTGTCGACATCTGAGAGAGGAGGCCACCACAGTTTTCCCATCAGGCCCTGATAGTGTCCGATAAGATGAGAATGAACTACAGTGAGCCACATGAACTCTGGTAATGGATCACAATCTAAACTAGACATGGTTTCTGCATTATCAATTTTGTTTGCTTGGAGACACTGAGAGACTGTCTGAGGCTGTCTGAGCATCACAGGGGCCGCTTGACGCAGAATCATGATATGCAGAAGTCGTTTCTAGTTCAACCTGAGAAGCTGTGGCCTGTTCTGATTCTGCAAGGTGGCAAGGGTCCTGTTTCGATTAATTTTTCACACAACAACAAATAATCCCAAAGATGGTGGTTTAAACAATCCCATGTTATTTATCTAGGATTCCATGGGTCCAAAATCCAGACAAGGCTCGGCTGGAAAATTTTTCTATTCCAGGCAGACTGGCTAGGTTATCTCACGAGGCTAGCGTCAGACAGCAGTTGGTACTGGAACATAAAAAATGGCTTTTCCCACATGTTGGTCCCTTGGCTGGGACAGCGGTGAGACTGGATGTCCCTGTACATATGGCTGTCTCTAATGGTTAGCTTGGTCTTCCTTACATAGTGGCTGGAACCTAATAGCAGGTGTTTCAAGTGGCAAAGTCAGAACCTGCTTCCCTCTGAAGTCTCAGCCTTACAAGTTCTACTACACTCTACTGCTCAAAATAAATCACAGGTCCAGCCCAGATCCAAGAGGATGGGAGAAACAGAATCTGCCTCTTGATGGGGCTTTGGGAAGGACACTGGAAATCGAGGTCACATGTGAGATGGGGCACATTGTAGTGGCTAGCACAAAATAGCACACACACATCCCTTCTTTCTCAGAATTCTCCATATGAACCTTGGAAAACAGCCATACTTGGTACTATGTGTCCTCAGAGGAAAAGACAGAAGCTAACCGATAAAATTGGCACTCACCTGGCGGAACTGTTCCAGGTCAATTTTGTTACCCACCAGCACCAGGGGAATTTCATAGGTGTGACGGACCTGAAAAATGAGCTCTTTAAACTTGGCAGCCTCCTGGAATGACTGGCGGTCAGTGACGGAGTAGCAGACGATGAATCCCTCCCCACCTCGCATGTACTGCTCCCGCATGGCTGTGAACTCGGCCTGCAGGCAAAGAGCACAATGATGATGCGGTTTAAGGCAGTGAAGCCAACACATAACACCAATAAAATAGCAGGTCAAAGGCAGACAATTATGAGACTAAGTGTTTGGGTAGAAATTTTCTAAAAATGTGTTTGTGAGCTTTGCATATAGAATAGCAATATGAGGTCTAAATATACCATTATGTAAACAATGTTTTAAATTGTTCAGAGTATTGATCTTTAAACATAGAAGATGAAAGACCTTTAGGGAGATATTTTAAATAGCAGATTTACTAGAGTCACGTTGGGATTATAAATACAGGTTATATACGTTTAACAGTTTCCTATTTAGTGACCTAATTTTAAGAAAAGGAATCTAAATTTGTATACTCCAAACATAGGAAAACAAATTTGAGTTCAACATTAATGATCCTTGTGAACAAAGGAAGGTTTTAGCACAGATCATCACAGACCCATTTACATATTTGTCTCCTTGATGTACACAAGCAGAGGGCTCATGGTGCTGAATCTACATGGGTCTATTTCTACACTCTGTTGATTTCTCCATCCTCTTCTGTTTCTGCAGAGTGCAGAATCACCTGCCACAATGTATCAATGTCTCAACCTGGGGACATTGCCCTATTCCTTTTTCATGTTGCATTCCCCTGAACTCCAATTTTCTAGCAACTAAAAATTCAATATTAGGTCTGAATTGCAATCTGAAAAGTTTCTCTCAGGCTAAAATATCTGTTTTGACTCACTATTATTCTGAACCTATTGTTAAAATTACAAGAACTTATAAGGTTTATGCAATGAGAAATAGAAAACTTTGATTCTAGTTGTGAAACAAACCACGCTTGATCTCAAGCAATAAAAACAAAAAAGACACAAAAAGACATTATGACTTGGACAACTTATGAGCTAAATAATCACAGGAAGGAAAATTCACATGAACTTAAGTTGTATTTGAACCATGAGACAAAGATGTGAATTCTTCACCCAGAAAAGGGTTTACAAGACCTACTAAAATATTTTTCTTAGAGTAATTGTCTGCACAAATGTTAATTTGATTTAACATGGCTTGACTTTTCAATGGAACATTTACATCAATCCAGAAATTTTGGAAAACTGAGATGCTTACAACTCTAGAGAAAGTAATAAAGTTAATAAGGTCCTGAGCTAGTATATGATCTCTTAAATTGTTTTTAATCAAAATGGAATGGGTGCAAACAGTTTCACTGGGTTCAGCCAATCTTCGTGAAGTTGTAAGAACTTGAGCCTGAAGAGAAAAGGAGACTTGTCCATGGATGGGCAGCCAAGTAACATAAAGTTGGTTTAAATAATTTATGTCCTCTGACTCTCACTAGATTAATTGATTTAGTATTAAATTTTACTTTAACTTAATACTAAATTTTGCCACGTGAATCAAATATACTAACACAGGAGAAATAAATCTACTTGATCTCAATTTTCTTTATCTTCAAAAAAAATGTCTGAGGTCCCTTGTTGTTCTGACATTCTAATTTTGAAAACCCTATTCCTCAGGCAAAATCTCATAGCGGATGTGGATCGACTAGAGAATTAGGGACTGAAATGGCTATATACGTTAGCCTAACTTATAATTAATTTTCAAATAGAAATGATAGAGTCGTCATAAAAATACATGTACTATTTAAGAAAATATAAATGATTTGTTACATCAGCTGTATATGATTGAAACCATAATGCAAGAGCTAACTAAAATAAACTCAAGAAGATTTATTTTACAACCTACAGTTTACTTATTTGCCAATTATTTTAAGCATTAAAATTATTTTCAATTGTATATCAATATTAAAAGATGAACACTTTGCAAGATATTTCATTTTATATATAAAATTAATTTTCTTTCCACCTTAAACTCAGTTTTCCTTCCCAAATGTGTCAGTTAATATTTTCTCTATCCTTACAGAAATAGTCTATGTGTACACAAGCATAGACATATATATTTCACCTTTATACACCTTTTTTATACTCAAATAGTAACATTATATATACAATTTTTACTTTTAAACTTAATTAAGATTTAATAGGCCTAAGATACCTTGAAGACCATTCCATATAAGCATATATAAGTATTATTGTTTTTTATGAATGCATAATCTCTTTTATGCATGTATTATTACTTAACTAGTTGCTTATGAAGAGGCATTTAGATGCCCTCCATGTATTTCTATTACATACTATGTTATAGTGCGTATTCTTAAACCTCCTTCTTGCATAGATTTATGTATAGCTCCAAGGTACTATTCAAAGAGAATATACATTTTTACTTTGAGAAATAGTGCCAGTCTCAACACCAAAGAGACACCATACCCATAGCTCTCCGCCCAACACTACATAAAAGTGCCCTTTTCCCCTCATTCTCACAAATGTCACTTCTCAGAATATATATCTTTTATAAATTTTAAGTAGTAAAATTTGTATCATGTTTCTTTCATCTGTATTTATGAGTCATTAATTATCCCCTATGTTTATTATCCATTTACAAGTTCTTTTCTAGATATGGATTTTATTTTGTTATAAGAAATAAAATAGCTTTTTAATTTTTTAACTTTTCTTTTTTTTTTTTATTCTCACCAGAGGACATTTTTCCATTTTTTGTTCAGATAGAGTGGGAGGGAGAGAGAGGAAGAGAGAGAGAGAGAGAGAGAGAGAGAGAGAGAGAGAGAGAGAGAGAGAGAAACATTGATGTGAAAGGGACACATTGAGTGGCTGCCTCCCACACGACCCAACCAGGGCCAGGGACAAACTGCAACCGTGGTACATGCCCTTAGCAGGAACCGAACCTGGGTCTCTCTGGACTGCAGGCCAAACCAGGCAGGGCTAATTTTTAAACATTGGGACTGGAGTAGGTTTTTTTCCCTTTGTCAGACAAAAGGAAACAATTTGACTCCTTCAGCAATAACTATGCCACAGAGAAATGACCAATAAATTTGAAAAACTCCCACAAATTAGGAAAATAGGCCAAGGAAATGAAGGTAACATTCACAGGGAACAGTATTAGATAAATGAACAAGTGAATATTCAGCCATGTTGGTTAACAAGCCTCAAAGTCACATATGTGTTCTATTAAAAATGAAGTTACTGGGCCTTGCATCTGATCTGCATTGGAGTCTCCAGGTTTGGGGTTCCAAGTACTAGTATTTTTAAGGGCTCCCTTTTGGGTTGTGCTTTGCACCTGGATGTGGGGGTTCATAGCTCTGTGTTTATGTACAAAAGAGGTCTTTCCGACCTGGGAGGCACAGAACAGAACTTCTAGGTCTGTCACTCACTTAGAGCATGTCCTCTAACTAATCACCTAACCCCTCGCGCCTCAATTTCTTCTTTTGTGAAAAAGGGATTAGAGCACCCACTTAACCCATCTTACAGGGCTGTAGCAAGGATCAAAGGAGAGAACAGATGTGAAAATGCTTTGATGCATTTTAAAAATACAATACAAATTAATCCTACTATTATCTCTGGTGCAAATCCTGCAGAATGAACCTCTCACCAGGAGAACAGGCACAAAATCCTCTTAGAGCTGCGTTAAATATAAACATGGAAGTATTTCTTAAATATGCTTCATCAGAAATTATTAAACACATTTTGTTCAAAGAAGAGGATCTTTCTACCAATAAAACAGATATAATTATCTTATCTCAATGAATGGGGAGCACCTCCTCTTCACCGACCTTATCCACACCAACTCTTTTCATAGTATATCTTTGTACGTGTATTACTTACAGATGCGCTGCAGGCTGGTGGGGCCCAGAGAATTGAGCAGAAACTTTGCAGCAATGTATCAACTTAATAATATATGATACTGAAATCATTTTATTAAAAAAAAAATGTGATGTTCAACATGTTGCTTCCATTTTTGTTCACCCATGAATTAAAGATCCCTGTATTTGATGTTCTGTGCATCCTGAAATGTTAATGTCTTCTTCATTGGCTTCCTGCTATACGTGAAACACGTTGGTTAATTATTCAGGAACATGGCTCGATACCATCAACTATCCATAAACAGTAAAATATCTATGAAATGGACCTATTGTGTAAATTGCTACAAACCTAATAAGCATTTTTAATATTTTCTAAGCTACTTTGAGTACAATGCTGCGGCTTGATCCATTCCTTTTTATTACTTCCTTGGATTAAAATAGTGTGAGAATTCTCTTAATTCTGAAAACAGAAAGAATATTTGATTACTCTCATATCCCAGTTTCTTGATTCTCAGAGTAAGTGTTTTGAGCAGGTATTCAGAACTTGGGGACTGAGCCAGCTCCCACCACATTCCACAAGGGCTGCTCTAACATAAGTGACCATTTACAAAGTGCTCAGCATTGCAGTCAGACCCTCATTTCAACTGTTTCTCAGCACAACACCCACATACCATTGTCTAGACTGTTTATCATATCCACGATAACCCCGTCTCCACACCAAATTCATCCTCCTTGTAAAAAAGTCCACAAAACATAAGTCAGTCATACACCTAACCTAGGCCAAGTGGAAAGCTACATTAACAAGTAAAGAACAGTATGAGCCTGTCCTGGTTGGAGAAGCTCTATTAGACCAGGATAAAACAAGTGAAGAGCAGTTGAAGGTTAAGTGAACCCTGGGGGTTCAGAGAAGGGCAACAGCAGTTTGCAGGAGAAGGCAAGGAGGGTTTGGTGAGGAAATGAGACGTGGTGTTCGTTCTTAAATGCACTATTTGTAAAGAGCTCCTCAACCTTAAGGCAACTTTGCTTCCGAAGAGTATGTATTGTCACCGTTAAACAACCCTTTGTGATTTGAACCTAGCCTCTGCTTGGGCATGGCCGTTACACATCTGGGGCCTGCGTGCCAGTCAATCTTTGGAGTCTGTCAGAGGAGCCATGTGGTGGGGTTGTTGCTTTTGTTTGCACATTTTTAAAGAAGGAAGAAAAAGTAAAAATATTATGAAAGTGATGAAAGGTAGGTATCATACCTTTATTTAAACCGATACAAAGATTGAAATCAGGG